AGTGTCACTGGCCCTCATATGTGGGATCCGAACCGGGGCCCTCTGGCATCCCAAGCGAGTTCTTAACCATCGCGCCACTCGGCCGGCCCCCACATGGCATTCTTAAAAAGTAATTTCTTGGGGCGGCCGGTTAGCTTAGTTGGTTAGAGCTCAGTGCTTATAACACCAAGGTTTCTGCTTTGATCCCCGCATGGGCCACTGAGCTGCGCCCTCCACAGCTAGATTGAAGCAACTACTTGACTTGGAGCTGATGGGTCCTGGAACAACACACTGTTCCCCAATTTAAAAAAAAAAAAAAGTAATTCCTTAACATTTATATTTCAAAAGGCTTTAAACAATCAGTATTGGATGAGGTGCAAGGGCCATTTGCCTTGTGTGAGTCAGGAATCTGTGCTGACTTACTTTGCATATCTGTCTTCTCAAAGATGTCTTACATGGAGAGTCGGTGGCAGATTAGGCAACTGTGTTTCAGGGAGATAGTTATAAACTTTTAAGAGAATCAGTAAGCTGAAGGAAAGGCAAAGGAAAACCATATTCTACTGATTTTCAGTGGCATTACACGGGGCTATGTAGGTGCTCAGACTGTCCCTAACTGTCCAATTTACTTGTTTGAGATGGGGCTTGCATCATCATCCTCAGACTTGGTTCATTTAATAAGTATTTCTTGGGCTTCAGTGTGCTGGGGATAGGCATGCATTATTCATCATTCCTGCCTTTAAGGAACCTCCCTAGTACAGACAAAATGAGTATGTAGACAGTTACAGTACAGTGTGGTGAAAACTAGATAGAGACATGCACAAGGTAGACCTGGCCCACAAGAAAATCAGCTCTACTTCTTGATTTAGGGTTTGTCAGATGAGTAAGTGAATCAGGAGTTAACTTTGCAAAGTGAGTAGGCCATTCTAAGCAAAGGGAGTTGCCTGTAAAAAAGGGACATAAGTGTTGAGAGTGGTATGTCAGTTTATGTGGCCAAGTCACATTTGACAAAGTGGAGAAGATAAGGCTGGAGAGGTAGGAAGGGTCTAGACCATAGAAGACACTGTATGCCATGCTTAGGAATATGGACTTTGTCCTGGAGGCAGTGAGGATTCAAAACTGGGGTGTGACATGGTCAGACCTGTATTTTAGATGTCAGTGGATTCCTGTTCATGCTGCCTGCCAGCAAGGTTCCCAGTAATCTGCACAAATTCCTTGTTTCAATACGGACAGTTGCTCACATAGTATAATCTCAAGACCAGTAGCATTTTAAGTAGAATAGTGCAGAACTGAGTTAATGAAATCTTGACCTTGAAGCAGTCATAAGATTTAGTAGCTTATTTTTTCCCCCAAGGAATTGATTGGTAAAATATGTTGTGCCATTGATCAAAACAAAGCAAAATAAAATGTCTACTAACTCTGTAGGTGTAAAATTGAAACTTCTTGATCCCAACAAGATTCCTAAGGCCTCGATGACAAGTGGCTTGGTTCAGCAATTCCAACACACAGTCCTTCCCTCAGTGACTCCCTTGGCCACCCTCATCTGCACTCTGATTGCCATATTGGTAAGAATTCACACATGGTACTCATTTCGTGAGTTTTGTATATGTGACTGATTGAATTCAACTTTCAAGTTTTTTCAATCGTAGGATAAATTCCAATGGCTGTAACCCTGCTGCACTTTGAGGCATTTCTTAGCAATTCTTAGACTAACTTAGAATATGAATACTGTAAGGAAGGATTACTAGTAAAGCCTTTGTAAGAGAGGTTCTCCCCAGTGGCTATTGGACCATCTGTTCAGCCTGGGATGAGGAAAAAGAAAAGCCCAGGAGAGAGTGGACCACACTGGGGAGAAAGAGGAAGACGTTTGTAGTAGGGACATCCAGATTTTTGTTGTTGTTTTCATCCATGGCTAACTGACCAAAACTCCAAATTTGTCTGGACTGCATGGACAGATTGTCTTGATGATAATGAGAAAGTCAACAATGGCTGCTTGAGCATCAGATAAGAATCTAATATGAGTCATGCTCTTAGAAGCTTTATTTCTGTTGTTTTTATGGTAGTGATCCTGATGCCCTCAATTCCATGATATAATTTAAGTAGAATTTAATATAAATAACCCAATCCTATCTATAGTTACACTCAGCTTTAATTTTGGTTTCTAAATGATCAAGCCTACTGTCCATACAGCTGATCCCGTTTAATTATACTGCAGTGCTGGTAGGTAATTAAGTTCTGTGGCCTACTTGTTCACGTGACTGAGGTAAAAACTTTTTTTCTAATACCTCAGACTTGTAAGCTACATATGGAAGGCCATAGTTTTATTGTAAATTACCCTCCAGCTCACAAATCTAGGTGTTTATCAATATGATAAAGTCCAATTTATTATTAGCCCCAAAGTATCTATGAACTTTTGAGGTTTGACCTAGGAGGTTCAGTGACTATTAACTAATTATGAAGATATAATAAGGGGTTATATTGGATATCCTAGAGTTTAATTATCATTTTTTACTAATTTTTGTGAATTAAATATATCTGAATGCCTTTTTTTTCCTGAGTAGTTGTTTTTATGTTACATTTTGGTAGACTGTTCACAAAGTGATGAATTATTCCAGTTTAATGGAGAATAGTCAAAGATCTACTGTTTTTCAGAGATGATGCAAATTATGTTCACCTGAACAATGTTTCTGTAATGCCTATTTTAAATGATACTGAAGTTTTGTTTTTGCCTATTGTTTCTAGCCCTCTGTTTTCTGTCTTTGGTTTAAACCCCAAGGGTCCAGAGGCTTTCTCCGGTGTCTAATTCTTTGTGCCTTGAGCTCCTTCATGTTTGGATGGCACGTCCATGAGAAAGCCATACTCCTAGCAGTTCTCCCGATGAGGTAAGCAGAGAGCTTAGTCAGTCAGCATTTCTGGCATATTTCAAGTGATACTATTGTTTTCTATTTGAACTGTCCCTTCTTGACATGTCCATGGGATAAGCAAAGGCAGAAATGTACAGGAAACAGATTTATACAAGGACGGGACAGGGTTGCTTAACTTTTGATCCTGTACCTGTGAAGGTTCTGAGGTATGCGAAATTGTGCATGTTGTTCCTAAATTTTTTGGTAAGGGGTACTGTAGTATTAAGAACCATGACATCAGGTTTTAGGTCTGCATATTGAGGGGGCAATATAGTATGAAAAAAGCATGGGCTTTGGTGTCATCACATCTATGAAAATAAGGTCCCACAGTTCCTTGTTAAGTGTTGTTAAGGTAAGGATTGAGTCCATTATAGAATAATACCTAACATAGGAACAACATTCATATTTTTCAGAACTGTTATTTTGGGGATTTTCTTTTCAGCCTCACAACAACCTTTAAGAAAATTAGGGTAAATGAATATCATCCCGTGTCTTAACATCTGCAGAAACTGGGCCTCAGAGAGTTTAAATGACTTATTCAAAGTCACACAGCTAGCAAGTAGCTGCATTAGGACTTAAACCTGAATCTTAGGATGCTGAATCTTATGATCCATTTCTCACTGTGCCATGCTAACAAAGCATTTTAAATGCAGTAGTGTCCATTCTACCTATAATTGAAACCCAATAGGTAGATAGGTGTTTAATAGAATTAGTCTTTTTTTCCTTGAGATTTTTCTTAAGTCCTGAGAGAAATCATTGAAGCTATGAAAGAACATTGAGCAAATTTGTCAGGTTGGGTATATGGCTTATGTGGGTTCATTTAGCAACTTGGAGTTTCCAAATTAAAAAACTAGACCAAAACTTCTAATATCTTTAGTTAGAATTCTTGCTGAATGCCAGCAGGTGCAGGGCATTGCCTAAGAGAAGAGCTGTAGGATTGGAAATTAAACTGCAAGTCCTGTTTCCCTGGCGTCCACCACTAGGCAGCTCCCAGTCCCACAACATCCCTTTCTTTGGAGAAGACAGTTACTCAGGGAAGCAGGATTCTTTTTTGAATATTCCTCAATTCAGTGTGGTACATTCTTCTAG